GCCCAAATAAATCCAAGAATATTCTCAGGTGGTTGAATTACAAGTAGTTAAAACCCTCTCTCCCAAGTTTGCCACGAAAGGATTCGGAAGTGCCTAAACAAGACCTCAAAAACGTCAAGAATCAAGACGCACATGCCTAATTAAGTCGCTGGTTACGGCCCAGACCCTCATGACAGGGTTCCCGGAACGGGATGTCATGAGGGGATGTGTATGAGACTATATTTTCAAGAGGTGAGATCATCCTCTCTTTTCGTCGCGCCTTAATTTTTTTCTGAAAAAAATCTCTTTCAGGTACCTAAAGGACTGTTGATCCAGTACTATAACCCCGCCTGGTTCAACAATCGACCTCCCCAGGCTCGGGTCAAAATTGCGCCCAAACTCATCGTCATTTTTCCCCCCGGTTCCCAAGACTTCTTCAGCCGCCGTGGCGACAACCTCTTGTCTATAGCGCAATTGACCGAGAAGTTCGGCCCCACCGTCTTCGCCGACTACGATCTTGATTTTGGGATCGCTGATGCTGAGGCATCGGGCGAAGATGTTGATGCCGATGATGAAGGCGAGGGGGATATTGTTGGCAGCGAGGACAGTGACGACGAAGGTGAAACGTCGGACACCGGCAGCATAGCCTCCTTCATCGATAACGAGGACGCCTCAGGCGGCGAGCAGAACGACAGCGAGTACGACGAGCAGGATGATGGCATGCACAGCGACGACCCAGCTTCGGGCGACAACCCGGCTTCTGGCGACGACCTGACCTCGGGCGAAGAGCAGGACGGCGATCAGGATGGCACTTGGGACGGCCAGGCACAATTTGCTGCCGAGTATGACATTGACATGGAGGAAGAAATCTTCGGCGACGGCAACAACTCGGTTTAATTAATTTCTTTGTACTTGGAAATTTCTAAATTTCTTGTTTTTACTTTATTTACTTTCTTGTAGCTAAGTAGATAGCTAACCCTTGTTAATTCTTTTTTCACAGTTTCGGGCAAATCGAGAAAGTGGTCAAAAGTCTTTTTATTGTACTTGAAACAAAATGCCGCCAACACACGAGGCTGGGTCGTGGTCGCGGAAAAGTCCGAAATTCGACTGAAAGGGGAAGGTGGCCCGGATATTAACAAATGACAGCTCAAGCGTCAGTTCGATGACCACGGCAACCCAAATTGCAAATGACAGTTGATTGTCTGCCGTGTTTTTAGGCTTCATGGGTTGTGCTATTATTTCCTTCACTGTGTTAACGGACTATATACTCAGTATGGCTGGAAAATTACATTATGGCTCGGCCGATGTCTTGGACAGCACTTGATTTTTGGGACACAGGGGCTCATTCAATATTAATACAGCTCCACACCAAAGTGTACAAAGCTCTCGACTGAATCGAGCTCTTTATATCTACGCTTGGGGATAAGCCTCCGGATAACATTGACCCGGGGTCCCGTTTCAAAACATGCCGGGTGAAGCTACATGCCGTAAAGAATGTGCTTTGCTACCCTGCTCCTTATATAGGTTGTAACAAGTCCTCCCTTCCACCTCATATTCTGCGAAGAAGTTATGAGAACACATCCTTGGTGCGACGCAACCTTGTATCTAATTATGTACAGTCGATGCAATCCGGGCAGCATGTCGGTTATGAGAAACGAGGGCCGCGGGCCGGTTTCAATTTCCTTTTCTGCCGCTTCCTTCAGATTTGTCGTGCTCTCGCCAATTCAGCCAAAATTCAGTTTAGGGCTTCTTTGTGATATTATTTGTCGAGCCGTCATGCTGGTTTACAGCTGTTTTGGAAACTATGGAGGGGTTTCGTAAATCGTTGATGCTCGATTTTTGCTTACCTCTGTTTGTCAATTAAGAGCGGCTCCACACTGCCGTACACCGTCGTAGTTCACATTAGGTTGCAAGCCGAGCTATTAAACCACAAAAGCCCACTTGTGGGCTTCAGTCTTGTCAGAACACACACACTTATAGCCTCTGAAGCCCAGCCGGGGTTGCACACAAGACAAACACAATTCGGCAGTGGTTCGGAGGTGTGGAGCCGATGACGCGACAGCAAACAGAGGTAAGCAAAAATCGAGCATCAAGAATTTACGAAACCCCTCTATCTATATTACAAAAGAGGAGGCGTGAGAACAAAATGTCTTGAGACATTTTGATTGGCTGGCGGGAGGCACGTGCACGGAACTTTCCAGAGTCTCAGCCGACTGTCGTCCCTTGCTCACTCCTCAGGCCATAGCATGCTCAGGAAAGTTGAAACTGATACTGCACTGTGTTTAATCCCCTTGAATACTAAGTAAAAATTGTGACTGGAACTGAGAATGGGCTTTCTTCGGATGCAAGTGGGCAAGTTGAACCCTGAGTTTGAACATAAGTTCGAAACCACTGGATGATAGTAGTTAATGTGTCCTCAAGGCCTCAATTGTGGATGAAGGCTCTTGGGGACTTCAAGTTCTTAATGATGATATTATTAAATAATAAAGAACTCGACTATCTTGAAATTGCGATGCATGAAAGATGAATATTAATGGGATGCTGGCACTTTGCCTGAAGTTAAATGTGTCTCTCTCCAGCTGCATCGATCCATTGTCACTGAGGCAACTTATAAGCTTACAAGGCTACTACAGAAGGGGGGCCACAAGCTTCGATTGGCTCCGAGTGGCCACGGAGCAAGTTGCATACAATCAGGTTGAAAATATTGCAGGTCGTGAACTCTGAATATTCCCATGGAATTTAGAGGTTCCCCAGGTTTGTAGAAAGTAGGCCACGAGGGGATTGGATCCAAATAGCCTTAGAACACTGGCGGGCAGACCAAGTTAATATTTCCCCGTTGCATAGCACGGGTTACTGCTAGTAGTTTCCAAAACGGCTGTATCTACTTCAAGGGGCGCGCTGAAAGCGCGTCATCAATTCACGTGACCGTGTTTACACAGTGCACTGCCTCAGTAAGCTCTCTCTTCTCACCACCATGTCGTCGGCATTTACCTCAAAGCTGGGGACCAATTACTGTCCCCATGATCAGGAGATAGCAAAGATCAAAACACTTCTTGCCAAACCCACCCTTCGATTGGAGGAACTTGACCATAGAATGGCCGACTTGCAGAAGATGCTCGACACCCTGGCAGACGAACGCGCCAGGCTCAGCACCTACGTGGACGCCCATAAAGCGCTCATTTCACCAGCTCGACGTTTGCCGCTCGACATCCTCCAAGAAATCTTCGTTGCCTGCCTTCCAACGCACCGTAACTGCGCTATGAGCGCCGTGGAGGCGCCCGTCCTCTTAGGCCGCGTATGCAGCTCCTGGAGATCCATATCCCTCTCGACACCCCGCTTGTGGTCGAGGGTTCATGTTGTGGAGCCCACTTTCGAACCTCAGCACACCCATGCATTGTTCAAGGAAAAGCTGGCACAGCGACTCGAGATCACCAAGACATGGCTCGGTCGCTCCGGCCAGTGCCCCCTGTCTATATCCCTCCATTGCCCGTTTTACAGCTCCACCATGCTCAGCCTCACCGGATCCTCTGCCCAAATTCTTCGGGCCCTCTTTCCATTCTCATCACGCTGGGAGCACATCACTTTCATCATCCACCCTAAATTTTTGGCGACCATGTCGGACTTGACCGAGGCAGACGTGCCTATGCTCAAGTCGGTTGAGCTCAACGTTGTACAGCAGACTTTCCAATGGAGCTCATTGGGACTTCTACGAGCACCCAGAATTTGCTCTGTGAACATCCGTGCAAGGAGTCTCGTCCCCTCAGAATTACCACTTCGTTGGAACTGTTTAACAGACCTCTCAGTCGTCCAGATACTACGGGGGGAAACAAATGTGGCGGCTCTGCAGGGTTTCTCCTTGTGCCCCCAGCTGCGGACTTGCCGACTGGCAGTTCGTGACGCCCCCGGCACTGGCAGCGGAGCTGCAGGGCTCTTCGTCGAGCTCCCTTTTCTTCATTCACTGGAATTACGGTGTCGGGGCACCTTTTCATCCATCATATCTCAATTGTTCGACCAACTGTCGCTTCCACAATTGCGGGATCTCACCCTTGAGACAGCTTTCGAGCAGCTCTCGGAAAATGTATCCTATAGCCCCTTGCTGACCGCAGCCCCACACCTCGAAAGTCTCACCCTTATGATTAGGGAGTTGTCCTCCAGGACCTCCCTCGCTGATTTCCTTCGCATCCTACCGCCAACCCTTTGCTACCTTGAAATCAGGAGCTTTCGCAAAGGCGGAATCGTAATCGGCGATTCCTCGACTTTGGATGACGAAATTTTCGAGTCACTCATTCCATCTCCCGGCTTTCCCGTTCCCTGTCCAAGTCTTCAGGTCATGAACGTCACATACCCCAGCTCCGTTTCCGATGCAACCCTGTTACGCTTTATCACCGCGCGGACGTTGCAGCGCGTGGCAATAACCTTCCAGCGCGCCATGGCGCTCGACATCCGTTCGGAATTGCAGTCATCGGTGCAGAGCGGGCTCCAGCTCGAGCTGACATACTCTCCGCATGTGGCCAGTTTTTCGCCTTGGGAGGGCCTAGAGGATAAGCCGATTCGAGCTCCCTGGTGACCGTGGCGACATGTTATTTCGTACGTCGAATCCTCCGTTCGTGAGCTCGAGATTGATTGCTTTTAGACACCCCTCTTTTGCTTTCATTTGCTAGTCGTTCGCCGGCGTTGCGAATCGAGCTCTGAGCTTAATCTAATTTATGACCTCGCGTAGTTCTTGCCGCCAGAGTACCCCAAAACCTAGATATGTCGTCAGTGAATCCTGCGGGTAGGGAAGCAGAACCTCTGCATCGACGAGATCTGGAAAGAAATGCGCCAGACAAAGAAAGAGTGGGGGAAGCATTGAACTTGAAGCTAAATTTTAATGAAGTTTATCTTGGAGTTCGCGGGGTAAATCCAGGGGTTCGAGTCGAGTCGGCAAATTGCATGAATTCAAAACAGGTAGCTGCCAGTGAGGGCGGGTTAAACGTGGTCCGTGATTTCGTGAGAAAAAGAGAGATATGTCAAACCCACTATGGCCTAGCCTTGAGTCGAACAAGGAACTCCCGCGAAAACTCGGAATGAAACATCATGTAGAGCGGAGGTGTTACCATTACACCACTAAGCCGTTATCCCACTTTCCCCATAGATAGATGCCTACTGGCTTTCGAGGCGCGAAACCGTGCAATTGATCAGCCACCGCTTGCGGCATCTACCGGGCCTATCAAGCAATGGTCTCCCAGAAGAGTCTCGCATTATGGGTACGAAAACATGACGTACAGACAGGCCTTTGCAGATGCCACCCGTATCCGCGCCCATAGCGCCCACAACCAAGGCCCGAAGCGCGATGCGCACGTAAATTTAGAACGAATGGGAAAACAGCCTGAACGCCCGAGGGCAACGGCTGGCTCGTCGTTACGCGCACGAATCGCTGGCGCGCAGCTAAACAATAAATGAAAGATATAATGAGACATAAAAGATGGACAGAATAAGGATTGCCGCGCGCGAGAAGGGAAGGAATAAAGACGCGCCAGACGCAAAGGATACGCGTTAAACACGCACGGCGGCAGGAAAGGATTGCTTAATTGGAGTTATTAGTTTAATGGAGATCCACTGGCAGCACACACGTCCAGTCGCCGAACATCGCACGTCGATTCCCGCCGAACATCCGCCGCGGCACCAGGGCGGGGAACCAACACCGACGACGGAACGTAGAGCACAGCAAACACCGAACTCGGAAGGCGCGCGTTGAGCTCGGAGCGGAAGTCGCCCCCGAGACAGCGCGCACCGGCGGCGTCCGCCCTCAAGCTAAGGAAGGTGTCCGCCAAAGACAGCGGCCGCGCGTGCGTCATCCGCCCTCAGCGCACTGCGCGCAGACGACGCGTCTGTTCACGCTGCCCGCTCAATATCTGTGCGGGGGCGCCAAGGAGGGCGTCCGGCATGCGCCTGCGCGACACCGTACCACACCACCCGGCAACGGCGCGCGAAGGGGGCAGCAGCCCACTGCAAACCCTGCGTCCCCGGAGGCCCCGAGCACCGACGCGACTCGAGGACGTGACGAGGCACATCGCTGTCACCGGGCGGTAGCGCGAAGCGCGCGGCAAATGAATCCGAAAGAAAACGCGCGCAAATCCGATCAGAAAGTCGCCTCCACCGTCCTCTTGGGCGTCCTCTGCGTGGACAGCCCCGCCCGCCGTCAGACGCAGGCCCAGCCTCCGTCCCGCCCCGCATGAAACGGCGAGGATGGAGACGCGCGGAGGACCGGAGGTATGTGCCTGCGGGGCGGGCGTCGTTGTAGCTCTGTAGCGGAGGCGGCGCGCGGGCGAAGCGGAAGAGGGAAGAGGAGGAAGAGTGCGGGGAGCGGAAGGCAGGGACATGCGTGCGCTTGCTCTTTGGATTTGCATTACTCTGCGCTCGAACTGCACCCGCCGCACTAGTGCTGCTCAAGTGCTGCTCGTCGACAGTCGGGTGTGTGCTTTCGGCGGAGATCAATTGCAAGCTCTGGTCGTCGTCCGAGGCTCCGGCTTGGACTCGCAGTGTTTCCTTGTATGCCTGTACTGCTGCTCTGCATGAAAATCGCGTCGAAAGGCGGGCGAGGCTTCGAATTCGGAGCCACTCGAAGGTAGGGGCGACCTGTAGCTGCTTTTGCAGACGGTCCGTCGGATCAATCGGGATGGTGTGACGGGTGATGCGTCACCGGTTAACTCCGTTTCCTCATTTCTCAAAGTCTCTTTCTGGTCTTTCCAGCATATGTTCGATGCGACTACCGGCGTGGGGCGTGGTGACAAAAGAAGGTGCGCCGTGCGGCCTGCGAATTCGGATCGTGTGTGCACCGTGAAATCATCGACGCGTATGCGGCCACCGGCGTCAACTGTTCTTTTTTAGGGATTATTCTAATGAGAAGCCCGGTTTCCGGTGAAACCCTTCCCGTTTAGGCAATTTCGCAGAAGCCCTTGAAAAGGTTTAAATAACGAGAAACCCTCCTACGGCAATCAGGCCGCCCGCGGGGTTTGAATTAGGGTACGAAATGAATTTTGTGCTTCCACTGCTAGGATACAGCTCAAAGAAAATGTCAATCATACTGGTTCACTAAATCCCTCTGATTCCCAGCACCCGCACAATCTGTTAGGTTCAAAAATCTGCCACACGTTCAATCGGGAGGCGGGGATGGTACATCATCATACAAGAAATTGTTGCAATGTCACACAGTATGAGCAGGTAGCTGGATCAACCCGGAGTGCCTGCTGCAGAGTGGTTAATCCTCACTTTATGTAGCTACAATGGCATCAGGGTCTCCTTCCTTGAATTTCATCCACTGCCATTTCTAAGGGAGGAATAAATATTCAATTGTTCTGGTCGAACATACTGTATGGATACGAGCATCAAATTTTGTGGTACTCCACAAAAACATAAAAACACGGCAGGGCTCACTGTGCCGCCTTCTCGAGCTGATAATCGTATTATGTTGAAAACTTGAGTATTCCGGCTTGGCTCGGCAATCGCTCGGCATCGTTGCCGGTATCACTGGGCTCCCGGGGAAACCCGGTTCCTGAATAAGACAACGGGAAACCCCAGGAAACCGGGTTTCTCATTAGAATCATCCCTTTTTTAGAGCGCCGGCTCTGCCAGGAGTCGTGACTGGATCCCCATGGCTTACGTTGGTTCCATGCATCTACTTGACGCGGACGCTCGACGTATCCTCCATACAGCTCGGAGGTCCTGCAAGGGCAAAAATTGGCAATGAAACGCACTGAAGGACTTAGGAAGGACTTGCTATATCCAGATCCGGATATCTATCCGCGCAAATGCGAAGGCGCCGGCGTACAAACCCTGCCCCACAGTATACGAGTCGCTGGCTGTCAAGCTCATGCGCCTAGCCATATCTGGCTCAAGTATCCGACAACTATCGGGAATCGTGCCTACATCTCGCGCCGGGATACTACAACCGAGATTTCCTCAACAGATCTGGGCAGAGTCTCGAAGGATACGACTCGGACGCTTCAAGCTAGGCAAGTTCTCTATTAGCGAATTGTGCCGATTTCTCTGATTTGGCATCCCTCTTCCTGCTGCTGAAACCTTGCACCGACGCCCGAATCATCCGCGCTCTATCTGCGCCTATATTTCTGCACGTATAGCCCGACAAAGCTGTGCGGCCTAGACCGGTTTGAGACCTGGCCGTTGCACAAGTGGACCACGACCAAGTATTCTTGTGCTCATTCTAGGAACTTCTGAAACTCTGCACCCATATATCGAGATATCTCAGCATGAATGATGTCGCACCGGACCGCATTGGACTATGAAAGACCATGATGTGGCGAAAACACCTGGACAATTCGAGGAAATGAGATTGGTCCAGCAGCTGTAAGATTTCAGACACTGCGACAGGTTGGAACGGGTGCATTGATGGAACGGTCGAATCCCATGAACACCCCACACAGTATCTCACGCATTCTTTAGAGTGCGGTTGGGAATCTCATCGTCGATTCCTCGATCCCAAACACCAGAATCGGAATCTTGAACGTCATGTCGACTCAAGTGCTATTGGCAGATGATCCCCGTCGTTGCACTGCAATCCGGACGGGCCGGACAAGATACATTGCGGGCGTACATGCAGGTATATTACATGCAGCTATGTGCTATCTTGCTTTCTTCACATTTGTACTTTTATGGTTAAACGATGGACACTCGTAGCCATATAAACTATGTAGTCTCGAGTCGTCTCTCCTCAGACTTCGTTCCATTTCTATGTGTGAAGACTGAGGTGAGCGACTCTCATTCTTACTTACTTTCTTATGCTGACTTGTACCTAGTTGATTCTGATCTAGGTGAATATATCATTTGATTTCTGTGCGCGAAGACTGAGTTGATTCTGATCTAGCTCTCGCGCATTTTGTCTCATCTTAACAAGTCAAATGCTTTGCCAGGTTTTCCCCTTCGCGTTATCGGCAGGCTCGAGTCTCGCGAGGGTCCCGATATTTGGTCAGTGTGGGGGGATTGGCTGGACAGGACCCACCGGTAAGTTTCTGCACGCTCCCCCACACTCCAAACTTTTTCCTGACGTCATCTACGCATTTGTAGTTTGTGCCGATGGATTGACTTGCACAGCGTCGAATCCTTTCTACTCTCAATTTCTCCCCAAAATTCTCCCCTAGACAGATGCTTCAACACATACGACGCTTGTACCTCGTCTGTGCTGAAGTTTATTAGGCGCGGGGGTCCGATCAGGGTAAAACCTTGTTACATAATTTTACATACTCATCCCCCCCCCCCCCCCCCCCTACCAGAGCGCTCGTCTACAGTCCCTCTGATTTGTTTAATTCCCAGACTATCTGAACCTGTATGCCTCGCTTACACATTGGTTTCCCCAATTTTTTAAACCATTTGAAGTCGTGGTGAATACTTTGGAGAGAGGTACGTCGTTTTCCGTTGAATTTTCGGAATTCTGAGGAGACAGAATGTTGAAGGGTGCATCCTAATATAATTCTGAATGCTCAGGCTCTGAGACAACGCGTCTCGTACGGACCATCATTTGAAGGGATGATTACATGAAATTACATAACAAGAACTTACCCTCATCGGACCCCTTTGCTTCTCACAGGACTGCGTCTACTCGCACCTCGCGTCTTTCTTATCTTGTACTAGTTCCCGAAGCCTTTGCCGGCATAAGTAAATGCAGCTACGTGCGGGATCATTGCTGCTCCCACCCAATGCTAATATTCCTCTCCCCATTCGCAATAAATTTTTAATTTATTCGCGATTCTGCAAACCCTCCAACATACTGTCTGTCGTTGATCCTGATTCAGAATTTTCCGCTCCCCACTTTCCCCCGGGCTCTGGGTTCCACTCCCTCCAGGCTCACCATAGATCTATCTGTTTTCTACCCGGCCATCTATGAATTAACCTGGAGCTAGTTATAGTCCTGAACTTGTTCGAGACACCCGGGAGACGTCACCGTTCCATCCACACACGCACGCTTCTGTCTTGTCGTCGAAAGATTACACGAGTTTGTCAGCCGACGTTCGCGACAGTTCCTGACTCGTTACATCTACATCTACTGCTTGAACACGACAAACTTTGAGCCAATATGCATACTCACCATAACCATCCCCTGATCCGAGAAATGCTAGTCAGAGCAAAGTCAGAGCGTTCAGCAGGAGCTGAGCCGAAAACCAGCCTTGACAAGTGTTGGCTGGGTGGTGAAGGCTTAGTGGTGTAATGATAACACACCTGCTGTATATAATGGTCGTAGAGAGATTTTCTTTCAGCGGGAGACCCTCATTCAACTCCAGGCTAGGTCATACTCTTTTATTTTATTTATTTTTGCCTCCCACATTCAAATTGTCTCCTCATTATTGCTCACTTTATTGCCTCCGACTCAATATATCTCCGGAGTTTACTGCGCAAAGGTGGGCTGGACTCCGACTTAATTTCAACTTCAACTTCGGAAGAATGGCATGTACACTCGGGAATGTCCGATCTCTCCTGATTCCTGCTTCCACCACTCCTTTTGTTCGCTTTCTCCGGCGACGGTTCAACAGAGGTCTCCTATTTTTTTCTCTCGCCGTTGCGGAACGGTTATTTTCGTTGGCCAACTTGGCAACCAGCAGCCTTCCTCGGCTGCACGATTCGGAGATTCAACAAACGCATCGATATCTCGACTTTGATTTTTGTTGATTTTGCCTTTGGCCTCGAGACTCGAATGCTTCAGCTGCCCTGAATTGCGCCTACCAAATCAAACGTGCCTGCCAGGAAATGGCTGACGTCGCCACTCTAATAATTTAGGCTCACGCGGGACCTCTCAATCTTACGCTTCTTAACTTCCAGGAACCCCTAGTCGGACTGGTGTGCGTGAAAGCACGCCACGCACCGCATCATATTCCTATCGAGCTGGTATCGTTGTCCACTCACACACTGCTCGCAGTCGTGTCCGTATCTCAATTACCCCAGCTTACAACTTATCTGAGATCTAACCAAAAACTTTCTACCTGCGGGACTTTCACGGATTCTCGACGCCTTCCCCTCGCTCTATCCGAGGGGTTCAATCTTCCTTGGACTCTGCGCTCCTACTCTTATTATAATTGTTTCGAATACTGTGGTGATGTACTGTATTCCTTTTCAGTTTGAACTTTCATCCGGATACTCGCGCTGCTCCACAGCTTTTCTTTTGACTGCTCTTGCATCTTCGACTTCCCCATGCACTCAGAACCCGGCTCTGCAACGGAATGACCAAGTTCGCAGCCTACAGGTGAGGGCGGGTGAAATGATTTCGTGAGAAAAGAAAAAGACATCAACCGTATCATGGCCTAGCCTTGAGTCGAACAAGGAACTCCCGTGAAAAGCTATCAATGCACGGTATGTACAGCAGGGGTGTTTCCGTTACACCACTAGGCCGACACCTTTCCGTCCCCACAGGTAGATACCTATTGGATTTTCGAGGCGCAAGACTGGGTGGCGCAATTGATCAAACTGCACATTCCCATCAAGCAAAAGAGACTCGCATTATGGGTCGAAAACATCAAGTATAGAAGGCCTCTACAGAAGGTCGACCACACACCCCACCGCCAAGGCCCGAAACGCGACACGGACGTAAATTTAAAACGAATGGGAGACGAGCCTGAGCGCTCGAGGGTAGGGGCTAACAATAAATGAAAGATATAACGAGAAATAAAGAGATGAATAGAATAAGGATTGCAGGCACACGAGGGGTAAAGGAAAAAAATACACGCCCACCCGGAAGAAACGCGTCAAACACGCGCGGCGGCAGGAAAGGCGCTTGCTGAATCGAAGCTAACCAAAATGCAGCACGTACGCACGCCGATTCTCGCCGAACATCGCACGTCGATTCTCGCTGGACATCGGCCGCCGCCCGCAGGCTGGGGAATCGACATCGGCCACAGAGCGCAGAGCACAGCACACGCCGATGGAAGGCGCGCGGCAGGCTCTGAGGGAACGGTGTGCCCTATGCGCACTGGCGGCGTCCGCCCTCAAGGCAAGGAAGGCGCGCGATGTCGCCCGCCAGAGACAGCGGCCGCGCGTGCGTCATCCGCCCTCAGCGTACGGTGTGCAGATGACGCGTCTGTCTGCCCGATCGACACCTGTGTGAAGGCGCCGGCTGGCAGATACGACTCGGAGGCGGCGCGCGAAGGGAGGCGCGCGGCCTGCGCGGCACCGACTACTCGGCAGTACCACCCGAAAAGGAGCAGCGGCGCTGCAAGACCCTGCACTCCCAGAGGCCGCAAGCACCGACGCGGCTCGAGGATGGGACGGTACCGACGCGGCTCGAGGATGGCACGGTACCGACGCGGCTGGGGATGGGACAAGGCACACCGCTGTCACCGGACAGGCTTCGGCACGGCAAACGAATTCAAAAGAAATTGCGCGAGTCAAATCCGATCAGAAAGTCGTCTCCACCGCCGGCCACCCCCATGTCCTCGGCGTGGGCAGCTCCGCCGCTCCAACCCATCCACGGACGCGTCGAACGGCGAGGACGCAGACGCGCGCAGGTATGTGCGTAGGGACGCCGTCGTTGTAGCTCTGTAGCGGAGGCGGAGGAAGTGGAAGAGGAGGAAGAACGCGGCGAGGAGCGAGGGTCGTACGCGCGCTTGCTATTTGGATTCGTGCTGCTCTTTGCCGCTGCACTAGTGCTGCGCGTCGCGATCGTGCTCGGCGTCGGACAACACCTTGCGGGACCTTCACGGGGCGGCGGGCGGCGTTTCCGTTGTGCTTGAGCTGCTGCACCTGCGCCTCCTGTATGAGCATCGCGTCGAAAAGCGGGCGAGGGGGCGGACGTTCGGGATCAATTCGGGATGGTGGGTGTGACGGGTGATGCGTCACCGGCCAACTCCGTTTTCCTCCGACTCCCGAGCCATTGTCTCTTTCTGGTCTTCGCGTATTTTCTACACGACTACGGACAGGGCGTGGTGATAAAGAAGGTGCGCCGTGCGGCCTGCCAATTCGGATCGTGTGTACACCGTGAAATCATCGACGCGTATGCAGCCACCCGCGGGCCGCGTCATTTTTTTAGAGCTCCGGCTCTACTAGTACCAGGAATCTGGATCCCCATGGCTCACATTCGTTCCATGCATCTGCTTGACGCAGACGCTCGACGTATCCTCCATACAGCTCGGAGGTCCTGCAAGGGCAAATTGGCAATGAAACGCACTGAAGGACTGCTGTATATAGATCCAGATATCCATCCGCGCAACCGTGCAGGCATCGGCGCACAAACTTGAACCCGGACCGGCACTATCGATGCCTGTCGAGCTCGTGCGCCAGATGCCTATCCATATCTGGCTCGAGTGGGCGCCCGATAACTATCGACACTCGTGCCTACGTCTTGCGCCGATTAGGACCGACTTGGAGACCGGAATTACCGCAAAGGTCTTGAAGGATACGGCGATTCAAGCAACTTCTGGATTGCGCGCAGTTCGCAATGATCTGGTCCTCTCTAAGTTCTGGCGCCGAGGTCCGAAGCGGGCAGGCGGCCTATTACTTGTCGAGCTCCCAAATCTGCCAGCGCACTTTGATCTTGACGACATTGCACACCACGGTTCAAATTGCGCCCCTTCTCACGAATTGCGTACCTTCGTTAGCCAGTGGTGCTGGAATCACCCATCTACGTACCCAACTCAAGCTGTGATAGCTGTAGAGCTCCGTATCGACCGGAGCCCGAGCCTCGATCAAACAGTACTGCACACACAGACTCGGATTCAAGCAAATCAAGTTCAAGTTCTGCACTTCACCCCGCTTTACCTCCTCCAGCGACCTGGGACTTGCTATACTCTATCTCCGCAATCGCAGCTTGCATCTGCGCGCCCGTCGCATCTAGTGGAATGTCGAACCCGAACCGTTCGCAGATCTACTGTCATCTACGTACTATCTCCGTGCGCGCCTTCGCCCTGGCCTGCTGGGCGTGGAATAATTCCTCAACCGACGGCCGTCGTTTTCTAAACCGAAACACTCCGAGTCAACACTCCATCCTCGCGCCCACTCAGTGTTTGTGCTCTAAATTATAATTCCTCAAGCGGGGACTCCGCAAGCATCGGCGGCACGGTCATCCTGAGCCGGGAGCTTCAACGAACCCGCGAACGGACCCGCGTTATTCATACCACTGAGATCTCCGCGCGTAGCGGCATCTTTACATGGTTCAAACTTTGGGTGTGCATGCCGCCTCTCGCGAATATTGCGCCTCCAATGGTGCTTGCCTCAGAGTCCTGATTATGGTATCTCCATTCCGGCATTGGCAGCACGTCTGAACAATCCACCTGCGCGATTTTCGATGGTCTCCATTTTCGATGATCTCTCCACCGGCATCTCGATGGACCCGTCCAGGCCTCCGCCGCAAAACGCGCTCAACTCTGAACTCCGAACTCCTGACATCTTTTTTCATTTTATTTTGTTCTTCATTTTGCGCTTAAGTTGGGCATAGATTCTGAGCTCAGGAGAGTGGGGAAATGGCGTGGCGGCGTAACTGGTAGTAGCACACCTGCTTGATATTGATCTTCTCGTGGAATTTTCAGCAAGAGTTCCTTGTTCGATTCAAGGCCAGGCCATCCGGATCCATTTACTTTCATACCCTCTTTTTCTTTTTGTGCCACGTTGAAATTTATCGGTGCATTTGCTTTTGGGCGATAATTGCAGCCGCCTCTGAAGAGGTCTGTAGATGTTGCGCAACAAAAGCCATTCTGCAGAAACAATAAACAGTCGGGTGATCAGTCCGACCGTCAACGGAAAAATAATCCAAGTAGAAGATACCAGTCGAAAAATGTGAGGTCCCGGTCGTTAAGAGTGATGGGACCCACGAGAGTCATCAAGAATCCGAATAGGTTCACGCTGAGTTGAGTAGTGAGGTATTGGATTCCAGAAAACTAAAGAACTACCTACTCACTGCCTGTCTAATTAGTATTGCTAATGATCTTGTACTTAATTACCTTGTTTTAAAAAGCTACTCTACGTTGTCGTCTTTATGAATAGAAACCTTAAAACGGAACAAGCGCCCGGCGGTAGCGCCAACATTCAACCAGTAGTCACGTGTGTGTCCGGATGCAGACGGCGACGTATCCCTTACAGCCCGACTGCTCTCGACTCGGATTTTGACGGCAATAGCAAATGTATGAGTGCATGCTCCGCGGCTTCTCCCCGCTCAGGTCCCTCCACTCCTTAACTCACCCCGCTGCATATCTTTGAGTCCAACTCCGCGGGGGTTGGCCATGACATACACAAATTTATCTCGTTATTCCTCTTAAAACTACAGCATACGTGACGTGTTGAAATGACCATCGAACCCTCGTTCTGGACGTAAACTCCACCGCGTGCTTGAGTCCCAAAAATACGTGTTCAGATATCGGCGCCGAATCATGGATCTGCCACTCGCGGTCTCTACGGAGCGGCTCTTTAAAAACACCGTACGACGTCCTCCCGCGATTGGCATCAGGCAAGGCCGTATCAATTCACCGAGATCTAGCTGCCCAAGCTCTGGAGAACGTCTCGTCCACTGACCCTACACCACTGCGCAATATCAATAAGGATTCGATTTCCCGCGAGCTGATATATCTTGGGCGCCCATCCAGGCTTAAAAATCTCCTTCTTTCAATTGACGCCCATAGGGGGTCCGCGCAGTAACACGAGTCGGATGCCCCGCTATTTGTTCCGTTGTTGCGTGCTTGCTCTCCAACAGACGCCCGGACGTCAGCTCAGAACGCTCGCGGAGGAAGAACTGTGCGACGAAAATTTGAAACAGACGCTCGGCCAGTGTCAGCCTCGTTAGTATAAATTACTGTGCGTGTATTTACATGCGCTGCTTTCGGACATTCACCCCTGCGTGTAGGAATTTTTAGGTTTCGAACTCAGATGTGAAACTTTCCGTTCCGAGCCAATGCATCGGATGATAGCATATGCAGCTACACCTGGCGACGGCAATGTTTGATTCTCACCTCAACTTGTTGCCCATTTTATCATCCAGGATCTCATGATTGCAGTGGCGCCACAGAGGTCACTGCTTCCACACATAAGCATACCCCCGTGTATCGTCCGCTTTTACAGCAACCACCAGGTCGGCCATCAACAGGCCGCCCGACTCGATGCCCTGCTACTGATGAAGGTTGCTCCAATGCCTCGGACCGGTCCGTTATCTCGACACACTGCCGCCAAGTCACCCCATTAATTCAAAAGCGGGAGGACAAACTGTCCACCGCATACAAGCCACATAAATGTCGCCACCGGCACCCATCGGAATCCCTACAAACCGATGTGCTCTCCGTTCCTCTCAAAGCTTGGAACCAATTATTGTCCGAAGGACAAGGAGTTTGCGGAGATTCAGATCTTTCTCGCCGAACCCACTCTTCGGCTGAAGCTTCTCGACGATAAAATCGCCGACTTGCAGGAGGCGCTCC